CATGCTGTCAGGTGAAATCATCCCCCAGAAATCTTCTCAAAATTACCGGAAAATGCCGGAAAACAGAACACATTTGCCGATCCAATCTTCCTACGTCTACATCCATCAAATTCACCTTTCACCATTTGCCATTGGTCTCATTTATCATAATTATAATACATATACATATATAATATATATATGTGTGTATATATATATATATTCTCCGTGTGCCTTCATGTCTTCCATTTTTTCATTTGTGATTACAGCACCTCGCCGAAATTTGTTTGTCCAAGAATTTGGATACCTAACAGCAGCCATTTTACCTTCCCTCAACCAGCATAGACCCTGAGAAACACTAGTTTTTAGAGGATTGCGTAGGCGTAGTCTTTCACAAGTCATGGCAGGTTCGACATGTTTGTCCCAGGGATGGTAAGTGGTTACATCAACCCTGGTTTACAAGTCCCCTGGCAGGATTCTCCCAGTTTTCACTGGTATCCATCAAGTACCCCAATTACAGCCCATTATATCACAAGACAAAATGGATTCAAATGGTTGGCTTATACCTCAACATTGCCATATCCCCTACAATAAGCCGACGTAGATCCCCAACAGCGGTTGGTTTCAAACAGTGGTCCAACTTTGCAACCCAAGACGGATTAATGATGGCAGGAACAGGATTCCATAGCCTAAGTCTCTTCGGCGATTTTTTGCCCGCCCTGCCCCGTCCCCTTTTGGACCAAAGGCAAGATGAGACATGTTCTTTAAGAAAGCGCGCATAGTTGAATTTACATACATTTGGTTACAAACGAATGGCAGTATTTGCAGACCACGGTGTGTCATTAAGTGTTTACAAAATTGTGTGTGTGTGTTGGTTTGGGATTATCTTGTCGTGCTTGGACAACGTCGGTCAGTTTGCGCAAGTGATTGGTGAAACAGTTGGTTTTGGCCAAATTGTCCATCATGATTCCAGAATTAGTTTCATGTCAATACTTGGTTGTTGTGTCACAACTGTGTCTGAAGTTTCATTGTGTGTTGCTGTTTGGTCACTTAGCTTTAAAAAAATCATCTACCTGGCTTCGAGAAGCCTCACACAGGTTTGCTGCCAATATTTAGGTGTTCCAAGGCATCGAACTTAATTGCTTGATGTGGCATGTGCTTTGGTAGATGCGACATCGGAACAGTTCAAACAGAAGATTTTACAGCAACATCAGAACAGGTCAGTCGACCGACGCTGTGCGCCCACTGAGCAAACGAACATGAATCGGCATGTGCGGAACCCGCCACAAAGCACCCAAGATTGGCTGGGGGATTTCCGGAATCCCTTGTGTTCCTGGAACCTTGTCTTCCTGGAACCCTCGTTTCCGGAACCTTGGCACAACCCACAGCGTATATTGGAACCCTGGGTTTGCGGAACCGAGACGCGCTGATTTATTGTCACGCTGTGCCCCCCCCTGTCAGCGATTGCTCGTTGACAGGGCCTATATGGTCCTGGAACCTTGGTTTCCTTGAAAATTGGTTTTCTGGGACCCTGTCCGTAGCATGAACCTTGGTACAACCCACGGCGTATATCCGACCCCTGGGTTGTTTCCGGAACCTCGGAACCTTGCCAGAACCCTGGTTCTCTGGAACCTGGGCTGGGCTTCTTGAAAATTGTTGTTCCGCAACCTTGTCCCTGTCCGGAACCTGTGGCATAATCCAGGAAGTATATCCAAACTGTGGGTCCGCATCCGCGGTGGTTCTCGGAACCTTGTCGGAACCCAGTGTTGCTGGAACCTTGCCGGAACCCTCGTTCCCCAAACTCTGGGTTTCCAGGATGTTTCAAAATTGGTGTTCCGGTGATTCCAGAACCGCTCGAAACCATGGTAAGGTTCCCGGAACCTTGTCGAAAGCCAAGTGTGCCCGGAACCTTCCTGGCGCCGAGAACCTGGGGATCCCGGAACCTTGACGTCCCGGAACCCAAAAGGTAGCCAGAACCCATTGTTCCCAGAACCTTGCTTGAAAGTCTGGTTTGCGGAACCTGGAACCTTGCCCCGAACCCTGGTTCCCGGAACCCTGAGTTCCGGAACCTTGCCCGGAACCCTGGTTCCCGGAACCGGCAGCGGTTGGTTTCAAACAGTGGTCCAACTTTGCAACCCAAGACGGATTAATGATGGCAGGAACAGGATTCCATAGCCTAAGTCTCTTCGGCGATTTTTTGCCCGCCTTGCCCCCTCCCCTTTTGGACCAAAGGCAGGATGAGACATGTTCTTTAAGAAAGCGCGCATAGTTGAATTTACATACATTTGGTTACAAACGAATGGCAGTATTTGCAGACCACGGTGTGTCATTAAGTGTTTACAAAATTGTGTGTGTGTGTTGGTTTGGGATTATCTTGTCGTGCTTGGACAACATCGGTCAGTTTGCGCAAGTGATTGGTGAAACAGTTGGTTTTGGCCAAATTGTCCATCATGATTCCAGAATTAGTTTCATGTCAATACTTGGTTGTTGTGTCACAACTGTGTCTGAAGTTTCATTGTGTGTTGCTGTTTGGTCACTTAGCTTTAAAAAAATCATCTACCTGGCTTCGAGAAGCCTCACACAGGTTTGCTGCCAATATTTAGGTGTTCCAAGGCATCGAACTTAATTGCTTGATGTGGCATGTGCTTTGGTAGATGCGACATCGGAACAGTTCAAACAGAAGATTTTACAGCAACATCAGAACAGGTCAGTCGACCGACGCTGTGCGCCCACTGAGCAAACGAACATGAATTCGGAATTCAGTGAGGGGCCACAAAGCACCCAAGATTGGCTGGGGGATTTCCGGAATCCCTTGTGTTCCTGGAACCTTGTGTCCCTGGAACCTTGTCTTCCTGGAACCCTCGTTTCCGGAACCTTGGCGCAACCCACAGCGTATATTGGAACCCTGGGTTTCCGGAACCGAGACGCGCTGATTTATTGTCACGCTGTCCCCCCCCCTGTCAGCGATTGCTCGTTGACCGGGCCCTTTTGGTCCTGGAACCTTGGTTTCCTTGCAAATTGGTTTTCTGGGACCCTGTCCGTAGCATGAACCTTGGTACAACCCACGGCGTATATCCGACCCCTGGGTTGTTTCCGGAACCTCGGAACCTTGCCAGAACTCTGACCTTGTCCCTGTCCGGAACCTGTGGCATAATCCAGGAAGTATATCCAAACTGTGGGTCCGCATCTGTGGTGGTTCTCGGAACCTTGTCGGAACCCAGTGTTGCTGGAACCTTGCCAGAATCCTGGTTCCCCAAACTCTGGGTTTGCAGGATGTCTCAAAATTGGTGTTCCGGTGATTCCAGAACTTTGGCACAATCCAGGCTCTGGCTGCTCGAAACCATGGTAAGGTTCCCGGAACCTTGTCGAAAGCCAAGTGTGCCCGGAACCTTCCCGGAACCTTGACGTCCCGGAACCCAAAAGGTAGCCAGAACCCATTGTTCCCAGAACCTTGCTTGAAAGTCTGGTTTGCGGAACCTTGGGTTCCTGGAACCTTGCCCCGAACCCTGGTTCCCGGAACCCTGGGTTCCCGGAACCTTGCCCCGAACCCTGGTTCCCGGAACCGGTTCTCGGAACCCTGGTTCCCGGAACCGGCGAAACGAGGCGGCAGGGTCGAGCAGTGCCCCGGAGCACCCCGAAGGCTATGTGGGCTGAGACCCCAAAGCATTCTGCTGTTGGGGAAAAAGATCTGGAAAACCAAAGATTGTCCTTAAGAAAACCATCTAAAAGTAGTGTATTTTCCACATCTTTTTCTTAGTCAACTATTGATCTGTTGCCTTACTACCTCTCTCTCTAGCCGTTTTCGCTGTGGATCGACCGACAAAAATTCTCCCAGCAGCTTCTTGTGGGCAGCGTTGCCGGCATCGCCCTCGTAGCTAGTGCCACAGACCTGGCCGATCCAAAACCTGAGGGTTGGAAAGGGTTCTTGAAATGGATTTTGTCCTGATATTTTTCGAAAATATTGACATATAAATCATACAATATCAGACCAAATCAGTGAAATAGACCAGAAAATGAATGTCCACCACTATTGTAATGGAAACTTTGCTTCTGGAAGGCCGTGCGGATTTTTTTTGGGCCAACCCCTCCCTGGAGTAGCCCGGAAGAAAGGCCTTATCAAGCTTCACCGCCATCAAGCATCATCGCAATAATGATGACAACAACAAATGATTATATGGATATATAATCACGGGTATAGTAACAATGACAATAATAGCAACGATAGCAACGATAGCAACAATAGCAACAATAGCAACAACAGCAACAACAACAACAACAACAACAACAACAACAACAACAACAAGAACAATAACAATAACAAGAACAATAACAAGAAGCTAACATTGTGTCAACAATAGTGATAACCGGTAACAATAACCACAACCGTAAAAATAAGGATAACATTAACATACATACATATACATACACTAACAATAGCAACAATACAATAATTCATCAGAATCATCATAACTTGTCCGGCTTGTCGGATTCTTACTATTGGTGAGGCACCTTTGGATTGGTTGGTTCTCAAAGTCGGCCGCCCGGCTGCTTCTTTTTGGACGATCACCGGACGAAGCAATGCGGCAACTCGGCATCTGCCGAGTTGCCCCCCTTGCGCTCATCCCCTGCCCATTTTTTCGCCGTGCAGAGGTGACGGCTGGGATTCAACATAAGGCATCGTTTCCAGCTGTAGGATTTGTAGGTTGGTTGAACCTAATTGTCAAATTACAGTCTCATCTTTCAGCTCAATCTTTGCTCTGCTAGTTGGTTGCATCGCGAAAAGGCGTGACAGGTATGTTCCAGCTGCTGATGGGCAGGAGATGAGCGTCAGCTATTCTACATGATGTTTCAAAGCAGGTCGCCCCACCTGTTTTAGGTGCAGCAAACGCTCCCATCCGCAGCCAGTCATCACACCTAACTCGTTCAAGAATCAAGCAAGTTCCATTGCAAAATTGCAAGCCTAAAATGGAGAATCACAAAACAAGGTGCCAGTTATACAATTTGAACCATTGAGTGGATACGCCGTCTTGGAAATCCAACGTCTAACATCTCGCAGGTGGCACTAGCCATCCAGCAGGAATCGAGTCTTCGGTGGACTTTTACCACCTCTCGGTCTGGGCGCAGCTGTCATTGTGCCTATGCGGCAGAGGTCCAAGGAAGCGGTCTGACTGCTTTTGAGGTACATTCGTCATTTGGTCTGCAATGCTGCAAGGAAAAAAACGGATAGAAACCTTTTCTTCCCAATCTAATCAGCTGTCTAGATTTTTTTATACCCCCAACTCCAATAAATCATCATAACTTTCCCGATGCTGACCCCACTGCAGGTCCCACCTGCAGCCTCTGAAGAATAGACCTGCGACCCAACCAAATGCAACCCAAATTTAAAGAATAACAATGTCATAGTGGCCAACCACCTCATCATCACCACCACCACCACCACCATCATCTAATACCCGAGGTCAACGGAACCATTTTTCGTCACCAGTATGACAGCTATAAAAAGCACCAGGTGCTAAAGAGACTTTGGAAACATGACGTACACACGTCTATGTAAACTTGCATCCCCTGCCACAAAAGGGACTGGTTCGATCTGGCTAGTATCTATACTATCCTCATTTATAGCGAAAGATTAAAGTATTGAAGTCATTCAAGTACACATCCAGTCAAATTCCAGTTGGTAATCTAACATAGCAATAGTATGTAATTCATCTACCAACGTGCATTTTTCTGTAGCTATGTCAGAATACCAGAGGGTAATCAAAAACCAGGGTCAAAAATGAGTTCACTCTCCATCTTTGATCAATCTTCATGCTGTTTCACCCCATTTCTTCTGCTTACCCTCTGGTAAACCAACATAGCTATTGAAAAGGACATAAAATGACCATGCATAGTTGATTTACATCTTCAAAAATGATGATTTTCCATAGTTTTTGGTATGTTTACCAGAGGGTCGACCACCCCCCATTTTTCTGGTGGTGTGGCATTTTCCCTGACCTTGGAGTCATCCGTCACCAGTCGCAAGCCGCCCTCTAGCCGCAGCATGGCGCTGGCCCGGGCCTGCTGGAGGCGACCTTGCGCGAGAAACCCCAGGGGTGATGGCTATCTTACCGTGGTATTCACCATCTAATCCCATGTATGCACATATGCATGTGTATATATATATACATATATATATACATATATATATATATATACATATATACATATATATATATATACATATATACATATATACATATATACATATATACATATATGCATATATACATATATACATATACATATACATATACATATATATGTATATATATATATATCTGTCTGTGTGTGTGTTTATATGTTTATTTGTCTATGTATTTATATCGATATAGATATATAGTAGGCGCAGATGACACGGGACTTTGCGGCCGATTTAGCCGAGGTGTTTTGGCACATGACATAGGATTTATGTATCGATTTTGCTATGTTTTTTTTTTAACACATGACATGGGAGTTATGCGCCGACCTAACGGGCAGGTATGTTTCCATTTTTTTGACAGATGACATGGGAATACAGTAAGTGATCAAATTTACACATGACATGGGACTTTCAGGAAAACACAGACGTCCAAGATGGGAAGTGGCAGGTAATGAGATGGGAAGACGCATTTACGCATATATAGATATATATATATATATGATGTATATATATATATGATGTATATATATATATACATGGCATGTAGGTGTACACCCATATGTGTTACATATGTGTACCCCGAATATAGCGGGTAAATCTCAAGGACATGGAATGCAACCAGCCCAGCTTGAAGCCAGTTGCATCAATTTACATCAATTTACCGCATGGAACAAACCAAAAGGATGTTTTCTAAATCTGTTTGTTGACTATTGCGTTTATAGTCATCTATAGTCATCTTGTTGGTCCCGTCAATGAATCAACCAGCCATTTGGCGCTTCCCACGCCTAGCTGGTTCACGTCTTCTCGAACCTGCAAATGTCTTGATTGCCATGAAGCTTCAGGAGGGTCTAGTGCGATGAAGCCAACAAACTTGCGAGTTTTGAACATTCGAGTCACCAAGTCACTATTTCCCAACGGAAGAAAACTGATTGGAAGTAGTTTTAATACATTTAAAAAAAAAATGATTGAACCAATTGTTGTTAAGAAAGCATCGGAAGAAAACTAGTTGTTAGTTAAGAAATTGGTTCCTCCTCCACCTTTTTAACAAACTCATGGTCCAACAAGAAATTCCCTGCAGGACATCCCCATCAAAGTTACACAGCCTGTCAGCCACACCTTGGCATGCAGCAGCCAGGCGTTCAAGTAGTCTGGCGGCGGCAGGTTCTTCACATGATCCTCCATGAACGAGTCCTCAGATTCGCAGGCAATGAATGCGAGATTTCTATGGCGAGAGATTGAGTTCCAGGTCCATCCAGGTCCATCCAGGTCCATTTTTTTGATTTGGAAAACACATGGTTGTAGGTTGATCGGCTTAGAACTGAGATATCTGAGTTCCTGCAGCTGGACCAGTGTTTGATCAATGTTCCAAAAAATGATGCCCTCCCCCTTCAATGCGGAGGGGCTTGCCGAAAGGTGTGAGTTTGAGTTGCCCACACACAAATTTCAATCGCATTACTCTGGGAAGTTTATAGAGTTTTTGTTTTGAATGTTCCATCTTTTTAATATTTTTTAATACATCTTCCCCCGAAAAAGAGGAACTTACATCAAGCCACTAGTTGATGGTTGATGCTTAAAATCTCCCAGGAACCAATCAAACTTCATGGCGATTTCCGTCACAGCTCGTCATCTTAGTGCCAAGGTTCCATCCACGCCACTTGCTCCAGTTGCCTCTTGGCTTCCAGCTCATCCTGACTTTAGCGGAGCTCCAATCTCAGGATCTGACCAATTTGGGACCAAGACTGGGATTGAAGTTGATCAGTACCCTCTGGTAATTTAACATAGCTATTGAAAATGACCATTTATAGTGGATTTTCCCATTGAAAATGGTGATTTTCCATAGTTATGTTAGTTTACCAGAGGGTAATTTACCTTATTCGGCATGATCCGAAATCTCGGATAGTGACCTAGAAGAAGGATGAGTTAACACCATGACCCCCCCAAAAAAAAAATGAGCTTTAACAAACGACATACAATATTCAACAAACACCAGGATTTTGACTTTAAAAAAAAACGAAGATGTGGCCAAAGCCCACCTGAATCCCATTGTTGATCATCATTTCTTCCGCAAAGGTTGCAATTAATGTGGGATCCGCAATAATAGACCCCTCCCAACCATCAAGCAATTGCAGGGGATCCTAAAATGTTCATCCCAAGTAGCAGTTTGCACAATAATCCACAAATACGGATGGTTGATTACCAGCACTATTAGTCACTATTCTCCACTCAGAATCCACTTTTTTCTTCATCAGCCCATCGGGGCTATTCCCCAGTACCCAGGAACTCTACGACCAAGTGTCAGCCATAAATAGCGAGGCCTGCTCCTCTGCAAGAGCTTGACCTTGCTTCACCGCCAGCCTTGATGGTGCAAGGTCAAGCTTTGGCTTCGATTCGAGCCGAGGAAAATACAATATAATAATAAGAATAAGAATAATTATAATAGTAGTAGTAGTAGTAATAATAACACTATATACCATATATATATACCGTATCTATATATATTTATATATGTGTGTGTATGCCTCTCTCTCCTCCTCATAGACAAATATGTAGCTATGGTTTCAGCCTCTTCATATCATCTCCGCAAAATCTCCGCAACAAAAACGAATATCAACGATACCCTCTGGCTAATTTGTTACCTAGCTATTGAAAATTGCTAATTTAGAAACAGTTGATTGAGAAAAAAGAGATTGTGATTTTCCATAGCGTCAGTTTACCAGAGGCTAAATGACAAATATACAGATAATATATACATATATATATATAATGTGGTTAAAACAATAATAAACCATCCCCCAGTCATCACCATAGATAGGTGGTATACACCATTCCCAACTGGGTGGTTTATGGCATTGTTTTACCCACATTGATGAAAATACTATAATAATGATAATAATAAAATGAACCATAGTAATAATAACAAGACTTCGCAATAATGATAAGAACATGATGGCCAATACCAACAATATACATCTAAACTACCCCATGTTTGATGCTTTATACCACCCAAAATGGTGATTTTCGGGATGGTTTATGGCATTGTTTTAACCACATTATCCCACTATTAACCATTATTAACCAGTATTAAACAATAATAATAGTAATGGGTAATACCTGGATTAGCTGTGGATTTAACCACTTTTAGCTATATATAATAAACCACAGCTCCTTCCTCATCTCTTTTTGGCGACGCGAATTCGGCGAATCTGCTGACGAGTCACTGCACCTGGTCGTAGATCCCATCCTCCAAGGCCTGGGTGGATTCCTGCACGGCCACCAGGCGCTGGTCCAACTGAGCCACCTGACGGCCGTGGCAATTGCCATTTTTTTGCTTATAACTTAGATATAGATATAGATATAGATCTAGATATAGATATGGTTAATATTGGCTATAAATTATATTTCAAAAAATGTATACATGAGAATTATTATTAAGTTTTTGAAATGAGTTTGAAAAGGCTGAGAATGGATATTGAATGGATTGAGTCGAAATTGCGCGATGGATTGTTTTTCATAACATATCATAAGCAATCATAACCCACCTTAACTTGGCCCTGTCTCACACGACACAAGAAAAGCTGAGATGTTCAATCCAATTCATCCCTAAGAACGTAATGATTTTTCATGTCAGCCCCAGATTCATAAACCCTGAGCATGCATTGGGGGGATGACTGATGACCCCCAGATTTTTTTTGGTTGTCGAAATGGGTACCCTCTGGTAATTTAACATAGCTACTGAAAATGACCATTTATAGTGGATTTTCCCATGAAAAATGGTGATTTTCCATTGTTATGTTAGTTTACCAGAGGGTACCTAGAAAAATTGCGACCCCACCGCCCCGTCTGACGGCCTGTTGCTGCTCCACCCGCTGCCGTTCCGACAACATGCTGTTGGCTGTTGAGGAGCTCTCCTACGCTGAATGGATGAATATTAGGGCGGTTTCCAATCAAAAGTCTTGCTTCAACTCATGGGAAACGGGAAACTCAACCGGAAAAAAATGAAAAAAAAAAGGATATCCTGAATGTTTCATAGATCTAAGAAAATCTATTTCTTGTTTTCCATGCGAATTACTTCCATGATGATGACCCGCCACCAATCCAGGACACCAAACTTCAAATTCACAGCAGATTTGGGCAGTGGGTGAAATATCGAAAAGCAACATGTCAGTTGATTAAAACGGAAATGAATTGACAAGAAAATCTTCACAACCCATGAGTCTGCATAAGATTTTTGCATATAAATCTCCAGCCAAAAAATCGGCCATTCAGGGATTGCCCTTGCCCTTACTATGTAACTACCATCTAGTGTCATATGGCCAGGAAATCTCTGTGGACATCTATGGGAATCTCATTGACTGATCTTCCAGCCAAATGACCGACCAGAGGGTAACGGTAACTTGACGGGTACCATGGGGTACCATCTGGTTATGACTCACATAGCCATGGAAAATCACCATGCTATTAATAGGTAAACCATCTATTTCGATTAGGGCCATCTATACCATGGCGAACTGTTAGTCATAACCAGGCCGGGTAACTGTGATTTAGCTCCCATCTCTACCCCAAATATCCCATCATTTAATGCCACTATGGTCGCCTTCAGGGCATGTTGATAGGCTTCCCGCAGGCCGATGAGGCGATGATTCTTCGCTTCACCTGCGGGTCATGTGTTGAAAAATGTTGAAGGGAATATGATGGGATATGTTGTTTGGTAATGACTGTACCTAAATTGATTTAATCATGTTCCAAGTCATCTTCAGGTGGATTTGATCACAAAGTGGTGGTTTCATTGCATTGAACACTAGTTCATGGAGGCTGCGTGAGGATTTCGCACGATAGCCAGGTCTTGAAAAATGTCGTGTTGCCCGCCTGCACTGTGATTGCCCAGCTTGCGGCAATGCTGACAGACCGGCAGCTTGCATTCCTGGGCGGCTGTGGGATGGTCCCTTATGCGACCGTCCAGGGGTATCGACGATTTCTGGACAGACCCAGCATTGATGAGCAGGTACCTGGAACCCATAACAGAACGGATATGACTCACTTTCACTTTCATGTCCTGTGCCCTGCATGCCCTTTTTTGGGCAACTCGGCACATCTCATGCATCTCTATCAGTATTGTACAAAGATTAAACATAAATTGAGCTTGGTCACAGGGACAAGGATGACTCACAGTGACGGAGATGTTGGGGGAAGTGGCGCTGGGCATATCATCTTTTGACTTCAATAGGTGGTCTTCTTGTAGGGTTCCTGTTCACACTCTGCTGAATTCGCAGGGCACGGCCATTGAAGGTCCGCATGGCTGGAAGTCCGCAGCGTTGCGAATACATCTTCATTGCTTGGAAGACTTCAGTCTGGGAATATTTGCCCTTTGCAATCACCTTGGCTCTTCGTAGATGCTTTAGGACGTCCGACATCGAGGTCACATCTTTTTTGATGTACTGCCATTGCCCACTGGAACCATTCGACAGAAAAGCAGCGTGCAGCCGTTCACAAACGTCACTACTCTCGGCTCCTGTGCCAGGCAAGACACCCATCTTCCTCAGAGAAGTCTTGTTTGAAGTTGCATTCAGAAAGCAAAACATGGCTTCGGTTAAGTCATCATTCAAGTGGTCATCCAGGTAGCCAAGTCTTCTCAAAACTTGAGATGTCAAATCAGGCGAATCGTGCAACATGAATGGGCCCTTACCCCGGTAAACCCTGCGTGCCAGTCGAGATCCATACTTTTGAAGACCTTTCGCGTCAATAGGTTGGCCAACGGCAGACATAGGCAAGCAGAATGCTAAATTTCCGGGATAGCATTCGTAGTCTTCAATACGTTCGCGTATCACATCGCGAACTGACGTGGTCGCAAGTTGAGAAGGAAAAATGGTCAGAGAGCCAAGCTCATTGGCAAACCAAAACTTTGCGGTGGCTTGGACCAAGTAGTCACCACCTGCCATGAAACCCAAATCCTTCAGGAATTCCATGACTTGAGCAGCATCAGCTGAGTTATCAAAAGATTTATAAATTTATAAGGTTCGACCAAGTGCACTGATCCATCTCCATTGCTTGCGAGCACGGCGCGAACACAAGGCCCACCCAATGGATTTGGCTCCTGTAGTTTCATGACCTTAAGATTTGCATCGCGGTACCTTCTATGCACCATATGGTAATTTCCAGGAATCAGAACCAGGGTGCTGGTCCCTTTAGCTTGAAGTTCGGCAATAAGTTCAATGAAGCCTTTATCTGCCGTCACCAAAGCCACACAAGCAACATCATGCCTGGCCAAAAATGCACGCAGTGCTCTTTGAATGGCATCATCATTTGGCTCGGAAGATTCATCATTTGAACGAAGCACGGGCTCAAATATGATCCCCGGTGTCTGCAGAAATTGGCGCCACTTTGTATTCTCAACTCTTCTAGGTGGAGCGAAAATTGTGGTTCGAACTTCCAGGCCTTCATTTTTCAGCAAGCTGATTGCTTCTGCGATTTGTTGAATGCTGTGAATATCAGCATCAACTAGCAACTCGGTCCCGAGGGATGCTGCGAGCACCACACTCTCATGCTTTGATCTGCAACGCTTCTGTTTTGACAGGAGAAAAGAGCCTGCCATCAGGATGCTAACCAAGACCTCAGACAAGGTTGACTTCGACCTCGAAACCAGAAAACTGCCTGCCATACCTCTCAATCAAAACTCAATAGCAGTAGGCATTGCAGATGTTCAATCATATGTGATTCTATAAATCGCATATGTGGGTGTGGGCAAAGTGGGGTGTTTCCTTGTCACCCAACTGCCTCTATCCCAAAAGCCACAAAAACCATCAGGTTGGACTAGCACAATGGTCTTTCGATTCAGCACATCTTAGAACGTCGGCGAATGGCTTCTATGTTGGGGCTAGAATTGGGAAGCCAACACATATTAGAACGAATAGTACCAATGGGTGCCAGCCAGAGCCATCCACCTCCAAATCCAATCGCTGAGAGACCGAAGGCGTCTTGTCCTTCCGCGCTTTTGCAACGCATCCTTCAGGGCCTCTCCTCCAAACAGCAGGAAAGAAGCTCGGCGCTGGAGCGGCTCTCGTAGTGCGAAGCTGAAGCATCATGGCAAAAGAAGGGCAAAGGAGTCTGTACAAAACTCCGAAGTGGTTTCTAAAGTTAGCAACTGCCATATCATTCTATATCGTCATATCTAGAGAACTCTTACACACCCAGCAAAGAATTGTTGACTTTTGGCTGGCTACTGGGTATTGCATTCCTTCATTTGTGGCGAAAAAGAGATTATCAACCTATCGAAGCAAGGTTTTAGCTGGTTTATCTGGGAAAAATGGAGATGGTAACAGCACCAGCTATTTCCTGATGTTGGTCTCAAGAGTGTGTCAGTCTCAATCCACTTCAACTGCAAAGAATATTCAAACTTGAGCCAACGCCACGGTTTCCCATAGGATTCAAGCCCTCCGACTGCAACCACCTTCCACTTCCCAACCGTCCCGCAATGGCACCATCTCTTTCCACCCGAACAAGTTTTCCACTTGCTCAAATCAACTCCCGCACCCATAGCAAGTTGTTAAAATGTTGGGACCCACTGTAGCCTAACGGCCCCAAACAACCAAATCCTATAACTCCCCATCACCTATCCCACAAGTTGTTTAAGCAGTTTTTCTTAACAGAGACCTTCCCTCCTCCTATTTTACCAAAAAAAAAACAAACCATGCCAAAGCAATGTTTCCTGCCACTTTGTCCCACCCCCCCTTTCCTTTTCTCACCCAGCATCCGTGCAGTACATGTCGGCTTCCGCCCCGCTATGATCCGGGCAGCTGCCCAGCGGCCCGTTGGGACGCCGGTTGAGCTCCACGCGGATGTGGCGCGAGGCCAACTTGTTGGCCGAGTGGATGCGGGTGTCGCAGGGCCGGCACAGGATGGCATCGTCTGCTTGGCAGTAGACCTTGGGGGCTTGAACATGTGTGTCGGTATGTGTATATATATATCTATCTATCTATCTATCTATCTATTTATCTATTTATGTATTTATGTGTATATATATATATAGAAACATATAGATACTCGGTGAGATGCTTTGAGATTGGTCACTTTACCATACGAATTTGGGGTGTCTGAGATTGGTCGACTCAACACCTCAGCACTGCTGAAGGATATAATATATACACAGAGGGAGGCAGCGAGGATGAGGGCATTGGAGTATGTTTGGCTTTATCGAAATCATCTTTTTGGACCGGGTTTGTCCATTTTCCGGTACGTTTGCGAAAGATTTCAGCCAGATTTTTCAATGTCTGGGGATTTCCCAGACAGCGAAGTCTGGGAAAGTCCCCTCGTTTCCTCGAGGTTTTTTTTAGTCCAAGGCTTGAAGATCTTGGGGCCTCCAATAGTCAAGTCTTGCACCAGTGAAAAATTTACGCAATCTGATTTTATCAAGACATCCACCCAACTCAAGGCATCAATGCGGCATTAAAGACTATTTAAATCTATTTAAAAAATCACATAATCAAAAAATCAAAAAATGCCTCTCGACTTGGCTGCCACCAGCCCCACTAAAAGGCGCGCGATCAAGGCGCCAGAGCTGCCTGCAGCCCGCAGCTGTCGCAGAGCGGCAAGTTCAGCAGCTCCGGCATCTCAGGGTCAAACTCAAAGTGCACCAGGTACACCGGCAGCGCCTGGCTCAGCGATGGGACGGTGCCTGTGGCAAAGCCATGTTTTCATGAATCATCAGTACCATGCATGGCTGTAAAAACCATCCCAAAATGCTAGGTTTATTCTCGAGTATGCCGCGTGAATGAAAATAATCAATAACGAAATGATACGAAATGTAATGAAGATGCTGAGGTATCAAGGACACTTGGCATTCCATGCAGCTTCCAAAATTTCCATCAAGGGATATCGAGGGACCCATGTGGAATCCTGACCCACTCAGTCCACCATCCCGGTTTGGTTCGAAGGTGGTCAGCACCGTTTTACCCTCTGGACCTTTCGCGCTCCGCGAGACATTACCGGATATCCAACCCACTTGCACACCAGTTTGGTCGACCGTCACCCAAAAAAAAAAATATCCTGATAGATATAGATAGATATATATATACATATTATATATATATATTATATATATATTATATATATATCAGGAAATGCGAAGGGTGCCGCCCCAAAAGCCCAAGATAGCCCAACATAGCCCGACTTTTTGGTGGCAAAAAATGACCAAAAATGACCTGCGCCGGATCTCGCACCATGTACCTGGGCCAAAAACATGGCGAAACAAACCTGGCGAAATCATCCTGATGGAAAGAGATGAAACATGATGAAACCATCCAAATCAGGACAGCCAAGGATTTCTATGAAGGTGAGTCCATCCAATTTCTCGAAACCACATGGCAGCAACGGAGAATCCGAGTAGCTCATGGTGCAGCACGTGTCGAGGCAGCACGCCTCAAGGATAGAAGTGAGGGAACAAAAATAAGAATCCGAAGAAAAAGCATCTACCAGAAACTAAGGACGGATTTGACTTACATGTTACTCTCTGGTAATTTAACGTAGCTATTGAAAATGGCCATTGATAGTGGACTTTCCCATTAAAAATGGTGATTTTCCATAGTTATGTTAATTTACCAGAGGGTGCTTGTTACTTCCAATGATTTTGGTTGGCAATGCCCTGCCCCGACCTGGAAATTCTTCGTTCACCACCTGCTCGTTCGCCGGGCTGTGACGCACGCAGAAGCTGTCGAACTCGGGAGGCAGCGCCAAGCTCTCCTGGGAGGGCAAAACGATCACTGTGTCTACCCTGGGGGTAGCATTCCGGCAACAAATATCAAATTACAGTAACTTACAGTATCATAAATTTCCAGTAACTTATCATAAATTACAGCATCAAATTCCAGTAACAAATTGTCATCCATCAAATTATCACTGTCGATTTCAGCTTCAACCGGCTGGTGGTTTCCACCTGGCACTTGACACAGACCTTGCTGCAACTGGGTTTCTGCCTGAGCTGCCTTGTCGACCAAATAGGAGCGCCCTGCACCCACCCGGCAGAGCAAGAATTCCTGAGCAGCCCATCGGCCGTTTTTCAGGGGGGAATCAGTACTTCTACCATCTTCTACCCATGGCAGGTCAGAATATATCAGAATGCCCATAGCAGAGCATTCTTGACAAAAAATATATAAAGTGATTCCTTAGTTGAAACACTCATGCTCTTGGCTGCGGCCGATTTTGGAGGTAGCAAGTTTAGGAGCAAAGACTTATCACTCCGCCGAGAGACGTAGAGCCGCCGGCCGGCCGGAAGCGACCTGAAGCAGCTGAAATGCAGCGCATTTGCTTGGCAGCTGACAGGGTTCCAAGGGAAGGCCAAAAAAAAGAACAAAAGTGGCCGTGGAAGGGACCAAATATTTGAACTTGATTTCCAAGTTGATGTAACCGGCTTGAAACCCTGCTATTGGATCTCTACGATATGTGTTTGAACCCCCCAATAAATTGGGTTCCAAGATGTCTTAGATTCCCCGAAACAAATCTCAAACCTTCGATTGAATCATCAAATCAGCTTGGCGACCCAGATCACTACCCCAAATGGGGATGGTGAAAAACTTGTAGAAACTGCCCATTGATTGGTGGATATTGGTGGTGTATGGGTCTCCCCTGTTTCAATCAGAACCTGCTCCCGGCCACACCCGGCAGAGCCTGCCACGGCTCTTCACGTTGTGCCCGCGGTCATTGCCACCTCGATCTCGGCCGTCATCGTACAAACTGCGGGCCACCGGGCTGACTGTCGCTTGACCGTCGGAATTGGGGCCCTCCCAACATCAGAGGATCTACAGTAGTACCCAAAAAACGTACCAAAATAAGTATGAGTTTATGACCCATACAGTACCCACCTGGACTTCCGGTTTCTTCTGGGTTTTTGCCGGCAAAGGATTCCTGGTTGACGCAAGTGCAACATGGGGATCTTGCTATTCAAACCATCAAAACCTGCGGTAATCACAAAATTGAGTTGAAGATGCGAAGTGCATTCAACCACGATCAATGAAGGCCCAAATTCCTGGAGTCATCCCATTGATAGGTAGCACCTAAAACTTCCGTCATATTTGGAGATGGCCATCCTTGACCCTCATCCGGCAGCCTTGGCAGTTGCAGGTTGCCAACGTGAAACGAGACCTCAACCAGCGCAGCAGGAAATGTACGCCTTCCATGCAAAACCCTCGAGTTTTCCAGAGACTGATTCAACCTTGAAGTTCGGAGAAAACACAAGTAGCAGACTATAACATCCGTGGTGTATGATATGAAATCCTACAATAAACATTAAAAAACCAAAGGTTCACACGATAATCGATGGTATATGATGTGACATTCTATATGCATATATGTGCACTCCCGGACGCTCGTCTCAACTCACGCGAACGTGTAAGACCGGTGTGCACGCCGACGAGTATTTCGTGAGTGTACGTACCTTTTTCCAAAAATATTCATATGTGCACATATATAAGATATATATATACAATATATAGATTATTGATTTATGTATATATATATGTATATATGCAGCATGCACATTCCTATACTTACATATGTATACGTGTATAGGGGTATAAATTATTGTGTGAATAAATATATATATATATATATTTACACAAACGAACATAAACCAACCAAGCATTCGCGGCAAAAACATTGGGCCCACAGGAGTCGGACGGAAAGAATTGTGTGATTTCAGTCTTCAGGAGAGCCAGTCGGCTGAAATGGGGTTCAGTCCCAAAAAGAATGCATCTTGATGTGGCAAGATGATGGTCACAATAATTCAATATGTCACAATCATGGGATGTTCATGGATTTTGGTGTGGTGTTCCATGTTTTTTCACAAAACAAAAGACAAAACAAGCTCTGCGTACCACCAAGGGGCTCCCACATGCCCAGCTTTGAAGCCGTTCCTGCAAATGTCCTGGAGGCTGGTTTTTTGACAGTGACCAGCCTGGCTGGAAATCAGGATGTAGCCTGGTGTTTACATACCAAGCAATCAATAGAATAGTTACAGTTGTTAGCTCATGTTATTTTATTAGATGTTGATCTGTTTTGATCTGTTTTTTCGATTCTTCTAGGATGTTCATCTATCAGGTGGCCTTTTTTGGAGGCTTTTTGAGCCACATTCCGTTGAAGTTCAGGCGTCCAATGGAAGACCCAGGTCCTCCACTGTTTGCCCAAAGGGGATCTCCGCCACCGGCAGCCACGCATGGAGCTGCAATAGCCTTGGGAGCATTGTAGCTGCGCCCTCCCGGTGGAAAACCGCAGAGATTTGGCGAATCCCGAAGTTGCTCCAAGGGGACCCCAAGAAAAATTCATAACTATTCCCCATAGATTCCCCAAATGGTGCATGTTCAACTAACACAAAATCACTAAACAAACCCATGTAAATGTCGCGATGTTTTTTCATGTCCTTTCCAAACCTCAACGATCCCTGGGCGACTTCGCCGGGGCACCCCTTGCAGCGCGCATCGAACTCCAGGCTGAGACGTTTGTTGGCCACTGAGCAGGCGGAGCGCAGGCGGATTCGGTAGGTGCTGCCTTGGTTCTGTCGGGTGGCTTGTATCATTTCAATTTAATTTCATCATTTCGTTCGTTTCTGATTCTCAATGTGCATCCAATATCATCCAATCACGAAGATTCTGAAAAAAACAAAAAACACGCAGAAAAAAGCAAAAGAATGACACAAATGACACATCCCTGACACATGACACACATCCCCCAATTTGAAACGCAAGATTCCACCCACAAAAAATCTGGGATTTCAGAACCAATGGATCTGACCCAGCTGTCCAGGCTGTCCCCCAGGCTGTCTTCCCCGAAACCCAAGATGCAGCAAGGTGGAATCCTGCTGAAGCCGAGCAATTTTCCAAGACCCAAAAGCCCTAGTTTTCATGGCCGAAAACCTATTGTTTAATGGACCAAAAATATCAAAAAAATCCTCCACAAAGACCACAAAAGCCGCGTCCAAATCATTTTTGGTGATTCTCCATGCTGAGCCCCCAGGTTTTTTTCAGCTGCGCTGCTGGTGAAAAAAATCTCCATGTAAGTTCGACTGTAAAATCCCGAAGTTGATGATTGCATATTGGTAACCTTAAGTTTTGACATGTTTTGACTCTAAAATCTGGCTCTTGGAATTTTTTTCCCCAGCTTTTCCCCAGCTTTTCCCAGGCGCAACTGGCGTGCAGCAGGTACTCCAACCAGCCCCACTCGGGGGAGCGCCGCGTCACGGGCACGGCAAAAGGCTGATCCGGCGCCTGGTGCAGCTCCATCAGCGCCACGGAGCCATGGCGGTCCAGAGATCGGTGGGGAGATGGGTTGGATGGGAACAAAATGATGATGTTTAATGATTTTTAATGATTTTTAATGATTTTTAATGATTTTTAATGAGTTTTATATAATGAGTTTCAATGTGTTTTGACGTTTTTTGAGTGACTTTTAATGGGATAATGGGAAGTATCTGGAAACCGACTTTTGACAAAAGTGGACTATATTGACTATATGTATGAGTTTAAGAACATGACCAAAGACATAAGGAACTAAGTAGCCAACTAAAGAAAATAGATAGATAGACAAATCGATAGATATGAATATGAAGGTCTCTTGTATGAAACCCAGGGTTTCACGGCTTTGTTGACAAGATAAGGGAGATCTTACCAGCAGAAAATAGAGTTTGGGCGGACAAGTTTATTTCTCCAAAAATTGGGATGTTCACTTGTCAACATCGGGTCCAAGACTTTCACCCCCCAAATCGATCCAAATCGGGGGTCTATTTCTGCAATCCGAACAACAACATGAGGTCATTGTTGCTTTCAAACGCCTTGTGTTTTCGAAGTTTTCGAGCCTTTGTACATGAACAGGATCCACAGCATCATATTCCAGCTTCACAACGTGATTTGTGCCCCCTGTTCGATGGTTGGACTGAGTCTGCACAGCAGTGGATGACTCCTGGTGGTACACCCGACACCACCTTAGCCCTTTGTCGACCTGACCCTGGGGACCCTGGGCCCCTCGCCTCGCAAATATCCTCAGCTCAGGAGTTACTCGGATCACACGTGACAAGTCCCGGATTTCGGGTGACTCATCCCATTTATATCCATTTATGACTGGTTTTGAACCATACTTAGGTATAGTTACCAGCTAGCAAGTCTGTGATGGTCATCTCAGCTCCCCTGCCCCTTATCCCAATCTTTGATGCTTCAATCCTAATGACAAACCCAACCCAATGACCTTGGGTGCCCGATATCTTGCTTTTTATCGTTGTTTTTGTCGAGGAAAATCTCCGTGTTCTGGGTTAAAAACGGTAGAATCACTTTTTTTCGTGGCTAAAATCATACGACATGTTCGGGTCCGAACAATGAAAATCAAACAATGAGTCGAGTAATCATCACTGTTGCCATCTGGCAATGCAAACTCCGCCATTTAGTTCGATCATTTTCCCAGTACCTCGGGGAAAATTCCCGCGAACTTTCACCAGGTTTCGTGAGGAGGCAACGCTGCGATGGCTTTCCTCAGACGTCGTGGTGAACTTCTCGGAGAATTTTGAGGGGGTGCCCGGGGTGCCCTACTGCTCTTGTACAAGCCATGCCAAAAATGGAAATTCAACACCCTATGTAAAATCCTCAAAATGGGATGAGTCATGGCCGACCCTAGGTGGGCCCTGCCAAACAAATGGGTCAACGTTTCGCTGGTTGGGGGAACATATGTTCTCGTTTTTAATGTTTTTACTGTATAGCAGAAGATTATAGGAAGTAACCCTGCCCCACAACATTACACAAGCCCCAAATGGGACCGAAATGAAGCCGTTCACTTGGTTGATCTGCCGGAGTGGGTGAAGCTCTTGAGTTCGTTCTAACTTCGGATCTGCTTGGCAGATCAAAAACAGCAGGTGATAAGAATGATGATATGCTGTACATATCGTCGTCGTCGTCGTCGTCATCATCATCATCATCATCCTCATCCTCATCCTCATCCTTTTCGTCGTCGCCGTCGCCGTCGCCGTCGCCGTCGCTGTCGCCGTCGCCGTCGCTGTCGCCGTCGCCGTCGCCGTCGCCGTCGCCGCCGCCGCCGCCGTCGTCGTCGTCATGATTGTTTATCACTCATGAACCAAAATTCTAGGCCCAGAGGGATCTAAAACCCAAAATATCAAGCTGTACCCAGGCGGTTCTCAAGTTCCAAGGATCTTTGTCTCTTCCTCAAGGACTTCTTCACCTCGAAAGGCGGAACGTGTCTCAGGGTTTCATGGAAACTCCCTGGGAACTCCCTCACCTGGGGTATCATTCAGAGAATTCCCTCATTTAGTTGGTTCATCTCAAGTGTTGACCGAAACCCACACTGCAACATCACTCCGTTTTCTAGTTTTCTAAAACCCCGATTTCTTCTAGTCCTTTCTCCCCGTTTGCTGATGCTTACCCATCACAGAAAAAGCATTCTTCCGTGCAATTTGCGATTGCTGATCCCAAATCCGCCGGAAATAGTCCACACATAGGCCCATAGTTGCAAATCGACCTGCCATGGAAAATGGAAAATCAGATATTTCCAGGCCATTTTCATGCCACCTTTGGTTACGCCACGTTCGCACGTTCGGCCCAGGCCTATCCGCCTGGTTCTGCCAAGGCACGTTCTTTCAACACCTCATTGGCCTGTGATTATCACCAACAATCTGGTTGAAGTTAACACCATTATTCACTGTACAAAAACAAAAAAAAATCTCGAACACTTCATGAGTCGTTTCTTCAAATGGCAGGTGATTCGCAAACCTCTCGAACACTTCGGGCGGCCTGTTGAGTCAACGCCTCCTTTTCCTTCAATTTGTCATCATCCAACGCTTCAGCCCGCTGGATGAGAGCCTCTTATGGTGCCATTCGGCGATCGCAATGGAAATCGTTGTGGCTGGCTGCAAACTGAGTAGTTACTACCAGAAAATTGGATAAAATTGGATCAATGCTGAAAAATCATGTGATTTAAACAGCAAAACCGAACTCTCTGAAGATTTTGACCTGCCATGTCACAGGTACTCAATTCAATCCTAGTTCCCACTTGGAATTGCTAAATTGCTGGGTCTCCGGACAGAACTCTCACGCTTCATTTGCGCCAGCCTGCTGCCGTCCATCCGTTCATTGCGAATCTTACCCCGAAGAGTTTGGGGCCTCTTCAAGGCTTTCAGAAGCGTTCTGGCATTGCTTGGCTTTCAACCAGATTCCCGAAAGGTTTTTCTATTGAAAAAGTATGAAAAAGTGATGTTGGGACGTTGGTCGCACGGTGGAATGTCATTCCATATCGTAACTGAGAAGCATGGTTTCAAGCGAGTTGCAGATAGGATACTCGGTGGTAATCCAACATGGCAAAGGGAAAACAGAAGAAATGTGTGGAGAAATGGAGGTAATCCCAATAATCCCAGTTGCAGGCTCTGCCAAGCGGCTGCATTGCATTACTTATCCCAGTCAGGGTGAAGAATGATGAAGGGTTTATATGGGTTTATATGGGCGTTTTTTAATTCCACAGCAGAAATAGAAATTGACAAATAAGGTTCCTTCCAATGATATCTATGTATAGATCGATCGATGGAGCCATGGACAATAGATATAGGTAGATAGATAGATGAGGTAGGTAGGTAGGTAGGTAGGGAGGGAGGGAGGTAGGTAGGTAGGTAGGGTAGGGTAGGGTAGGGTAGGGTAGGGTAGGGTAGGTAGGTAGGTAGGTAGGTAGACAAATAGATAGGTGGCAGTAAATAGGTAGATAGGTAGATAATGGAGCCCCAATGACCATGGAAGCATAAATCGCTGCAATAGTAAGGTACAGTTTCTATATCATATATCCATATAATATGTATTGTATGTACCTACATATATATATATATTTATATCATATTATATATATTATAAATATTATATATATATATATTATAAATATTATAAATATTATAAATATTATAAATATTATAAATATTATAAATATTATAAATATTATAAATATTATAAATATTATAAATATTATAAATATTATATTATATTATATATTATATTATATATTATATTATATATTATATTATATATTATATTATATATTATATTATATATTATATTTTATTATATTATATTGTATTATGTTATATTATATTATATTATATTATGTATATATATGTATATATATATATATATATATATGTATGTATGTATGTATATATATATATATATATGTGTGTATATGTATATATATATATATGTGTGTGTGTGTGTCCATGGGGTGGCTCCAGAAATTCCAAAACCAGACCTTGCATTTTTTTCCCAACACATCTTTCCCAAGTTAGGACCACCACAGCGCCACACCTATCATTCACCTGGATCGGAAGAGGTGGTTTTTTCCGTCGGACGTCCTGGAGCAGCGAGCAAGTTTGCCATGGGAAAATCCATGAAAAGAACGGCGTTTCATAGTTAAATCATCTAGAAATGGGCGACCTTCCAGGTCGCAAAGTGTGAAATGACCTTCCAGGTACTGCAGGAATCATCGGAGCCCACCTCTCGCACCCGATTGTTCTCCAGTGCCTTGGGGTGAGTGATGATTTTTGGGATGCTTCGCAAGCGCCCCCAATCCCATGTGGCAACCGTCACTGGGGCCGCCGGCAATGTGGGCCTCACATTCCCGGATCACCTGGGAATTTCAGTGCTGTTCGATGGCAAGCCGCAGACATGTAATACCAATCCTCTTGCCATTTAATTTCAACAAATGAAAAAATCAGTTCCGCCCCAAAGCGAAATTCTGTGGCCGACAGCTTCAGATCATCAACTTCCCCTGAGAACCCAACAAAATCCAAATCCCGGAGCAGCATCTTCTCGTACTCCCGCTTCAGCTGCTGCGCATGTGGAGTTGTCGAACACCAAAGCAGGCCAGGTTGGAAGGGATTTAAGGGTTTCCGAGTTTGGACCGACACCAAAACAAGACTTCAAGCACAAGCAGAAAAACTGACCTATATATAAGGTATCCCTCTCGTTTGGGGTGGTTCAGAACTATCGAACCCCCAAATCGGATTGGTAAATACCAAATAAAACCAAATTCGTGGGCCCATTAGTGTCCCGTTTGGTGCTGCCGCAAACATGATAATTGTCAATTATCCGATTTCCGGGGTGCCCACTATATAACCATGTTTCGAATGGCGAAATCGACGTTTGGTTGGCAAATCCTCATGTATGACCATCATCACCATCCCACATAATCTATACATAATCCCAGGTACAACGGGAAAAATTGAACTAAGTATGGGAGTAAAATGAAACATGTGCCATGTGCTCACCCAAAAGTAGCTACCATTGTTTTTTGTTTGGGCT